ACAAAACAAAACAAAAATTCTCGTGTATAAAGACAAAGTAGTCGATATGGCCGCATAGTCAGTATTTTCAGGCTTTTCCTTGCTTAACTATTCAGAGTGCGATTAACGCAAGGGATGTAGTACGCGCACTCAAAAGCAAAAATATTAAACAGTGGACTAAATTCCCTCCCTTGTACCTAAGAAAATAAATGTACAGGCAAGTTAATTTTCAGATCATAAGGACGCGTATCATTAAGTGTCATACAGTATCGAGAGTTTTACGAGTGAGGTTTTAAGGGCTTGTGTCAGAAGTTTTAATGAACATGGACAAAACTATCTGCGCACGGATCGCTGTGGAAACGCAATTGTCTCGGTTATTCAACCTTACAAATCCCTTACAATTGTGATAACAATTTTTTGCCAAATTTAAATTACACATTCTTAATATACCTAATCGATAAGATTTCCAGTAGGGAATTTTTACTTTGTATTCTTTGTGTCAACACGCTGTCATGTGAAATTAGTTACATTTAACTTATTTCAATTGTGTAACCTTTTCATAATTTCAGTATTTGTAAAAGGAAGGAACATCCAATTGAAAAGGGATATGTTGAGGCTTCAAACTCAACTTAAAAAGTGTCAAAAAAATCTGACTTCTACTGTAAAAAAGGAAAACAAGTCAGCAACAAGCTAAGGGGAACAAGATCTGCTTCCTCAAAACTGAAACAGAAATTGCAGGGGAACAGTGAAATTGTCAAAAAGGGGTATTCCCTTGTGGAGACATTTGCTAATGGTCACAGGGGACACAACCAAAGAACCTTGATGTTTATGGCTTATGTTAGATACATGCAACATGCATCTTTGTTATTTTTATCAAAAGACACCTGTAGCATTACATCTGATTTTCAATATTTTGTTCAATTGTAGCCCCCAACAAACTGACTGGAATGTTCACGAAGGTGAAGCTAACAAACTAATTTTATGCAAGCCCTTTTCAAATTCCAAGTACGATTTTCATTTGTGGAGCAATGACTCCCACAAAGGAGGAGAAGAGAGTCAAATAGTGTGTGTTCACACCAGGTGTCCAACAGAGAGCAAGCCATGAACTTATGTCCTTGCAAATAATCTAAAAGCAAGCAGGTCTGAAAACACCAGTCTGCTGTAGATTACCATGTTGTGAAAAATGAATATGATATTACCAATGTTTTGGGGTTGCTTGGGGACAATGCCTCTACCCAAAAGGGAAAATTAAATGGTCTTTTAGCTAACAATGCTGGAATTTATAGAAAGGAGATATTTTTTTGTAGGATGCTACTCGCATGTACTAAACATTAAGCTGAAAGGTATGTGCCAGGCCTGGTTTGGGGTCAAGTGTGACACAAGCAACCCCTATGTTTTATAATTACTCTATAAAATATCTTGGCTCCATCATAAGTATCCAAACCAATACAAAGTTATGTTAATGTTTCTCTTGGTATTCTTTTTAAAGAGCCACCCCTTCCTCAGACATTCATTGACACAAGGTGGACATATTATCATGAAACTCTCTACTGGTATCTCAAGTATGTTAAGCTTGTTTACAGCTTGCTGAGTGTCACCTTCAAAGATTGCCAAAATCAAATGGCCACCAGACTATTTGGCAAGATGTCATTAAGCTGAGCTCCAGTCCTATGATTCAAGTTGAAATCAAGTTTTTGTTTGAATTCCTCGATAAGTTTATCATCCCATCTCTGAACACATCCCAAGCTAGTGATGCAGAACTTGGATTCTCCAGTGGTTACTTAGCACAGTTATGGTCTGCAACTGTTCTGAAGCACCATGAAATTTTAAGTGAAATGTTGATGTCTCCATCAGAATATTTTCCTTTAAAATCACAACAGGTGAAGATGTTACTGAAGGACCCAGCAGCTATTAACCATTTTCACAAACAAGTGCAGAGGCCAATGTTACAAGAATCAATTAAAGTAATCAAAGATCATGGAGCAGAGTGGTTAACTTTTCCTAAGTTGTTTGGAATGGGAGCTGAACAGAGATACCAAAGTCCTTTCTGGCATTTGCTTTTAAAGCTTCTTGAAATTCCAGTCAGATCTGAAAGTCAACAAGAAAAGACAGAGAACAATCCATTTCATGTTCATGGACAGAACATTCTCACATGGTGTCATGTAAGGATAGAGTTGGATTAATTAAATGGGCCACTCTTTGGAAATTAAAGGAACTGCAATTTCTAGGTGAAATTAAAGAAATTGCTCTATCACCACAAGGCTCACTCATAAGTAAAGAGGCCACTCCAAACCTGTTTGAGTTCTATGCCAAGAACATTTTCAGTCTTCCAGTTACCAATGTTCTTGCAGAAAGACATTTTAATCTTTCTCAATTGTATCTTAATGATAATAGGTCAGAGTTATCAAAACAGGCCTCAGCCACATTTGTTGGGAACATTCTGCATAGTGGAAAAACCAACACCAGGACCACAGAAGTGGCACTTGAAGTTCGCGAAGAAAGAATGAAAGAATATGCCCAACTACTCACCACCACTTTTTGCAAGAAGCAAGAAAGAACTTCAACAAGATTAGAGAGAACAGCACACACGGGCCACTTATAGTAAAGGATGTTTACCCTAAAGCTTGGATAGAAAAGAAAGTAAACAATGACCTACCATACATGATTCAGTCACTAGAGGCTGATGGCCGCTAACTTAAACTTCATTGGAAGGCTTCTGCCAAGGGAACATCCGCACTGGAAGGACAGAGGTCATTCAACCCAACAGTAATTGAGGGAGTTACCAGTATACCTGATGGACAAATTCCAAAACTCATGCAGCTAGTGGTGCTAAAGGTGTGGAACTATGGGAAGGAGCTACCAATTTCTGATCTACCAAGGGAATGCCAGTTGTGTCTTCCAAACGTCTTCCAGCCTCCAACTTCTTGTCTACCCACGTCACACATGTCTGTACATATTACACCATTGCCTGCACATAAAGAATAGAGTAGTCATGGGGGTGGCTCAGTAAATTTTAAACATTTTAGATTTGTACATAAGAATTAAGTTTCACCAACCCACACTGCATGAATTAAATTAATCTCAGCATGAATGTGTCTTTACACACAGAGACACACCTAATAATAATGTTTCAACGTCACATGTTAGAACTAACCTGGTAAAAGCACATCATATATGCCATGTTAGTAAAGTGAACAAAGCTTAATATCTTAGTGTATGTACATGTAACATGTTAGCTTTTTGGTTTGCAATACTGTAACTGGTTTTACAGGGTAAAATTAAAGTGCATGGTGCCAAAGCTGAGACATGCATGTACAATAAATTTGTATTGGATCTTGAATTAAATGAGTTCAATATTACATTCAAAATGAACAGAAGGTAATTGCAACTGTAATGTATCTGATTTTAAATTGTTAGGCATGACTGTAGCTTAGTACAATATTGAAGAAACTTTGAATTGCTGTCACTTAATTTCAGCAGTTTAAGACCCTGATAAATGTAATATTTAACTGCATGTAGATTTTATCATTATACTGTTACACATGGATAACTTAACATATCACTAGCAGTATGTGACTT